TAGTCGAAGTCGAGGCCGAAACTACAGTCACCATCGCAGCACGCTCAATGAAGACACCCTCTGCAACAAGAACGAGTTGGAAAAAATAACTCAAATTGAAAATATCATTTCCAGAAAAATGAAGTTAAGCAAAATGAAAAGAGAAGCAGCAGGCAACGACGCTAGCAGCAGCAATAACAACCTAGGAAACCCCGATGAGGATGAAGATAGCGACATATGCAATAACATTGAATTTGATAGGATAAAAATAGAGAACATTATCGACCGAACTATCAAGCTAGATAATAAGGATGAAAATATTATCAATAATATACTTGAATTGGAGAGGAGAAAATACACCATCAATTGTATTATGGATAAACTCAGGAAGAAACAAAACGAATGCAATTATTCACCTGACATCAAGAAGCAACTTAAACATAGGATTAATTCAAATGTATATGATTTATACTCGGACAAAAGCACCTATAACATTTACAACACGAAAATGTGCGTGAATTATTTTCTTGAGGAAAAGATGCACTCTCCAGAGAATAAAGAATTTATTAAAAAATTTTTCGTCGAGAACACCACGAAGAACATTTACTTTGTGCAGGTGTTTAAAAAGAAGAGGAAGAAGAGAAAGGGGGGGATCACCACGGGAAAGAACTGTGTAGCGGAGGAGAAGAGTGGTGAATTGGGCGAACAAATTGGAAATGCAGGAACCATGGCGAAAGAAGTATCCATTAGTATTGCCCCCCCCGTGCACCACATACCAAGTTACGCCCTTGCAGTAGGTCAGGAGTCCGCGGCGGAAAAGGAGAAGAAGTACGACGTGGAGAAGGGCACACAGGGGAAGCTGGGAGAGGCTGACAGGCTTGGTGCAACCGATGGGGAAGTTCCTGATAAAGTGCTCGGCCAAGTTAAGGGCGATATCCCGCGCCAAACGTCTAGCCAAACCGCGGACCTCGCCGAACGAGCAGAGGGAAACAGAGGGGCCATAGATCCCCCGAAGAGTGAGCACAACATGAATTACTTTAGCTACCAGTTGAGTTTCATCAAGCGGAAGTTTGGCAGCGCGGAGAAGGACGAGGGCAAGAAGGAGGACGCGCAGGAGGAGAAGCAGCTGGAACCACCACAGCAGCAACAGCAGGCTGAGCTGCTAGCTCCAGTGCCAGCTCACCCCCCCCTGGACAGCCGCAAAAACGAAAAGATGGAAATAGCCGATGAGAGTTTCGAGTTGTCTATGGGTAAGTTCGTCGGCGACAATGAACAAACAACTGGGGAAGGCAAAATCGAATCGGAGGAGAAGCAAGCCAACGTGGTGGCCACAGAAGGGCCACGCCAGGAAGCCCTACATGGGGAACTTCACCAGGACATCCTCAATCCCAGCAGCGAAAAACCCTCGGGGGAGGAAATACACCCCATATTCAAAGCGCAAGGATCAAACACACACCCCAACGAGGACGAAACGGGGGATGACTTCGAGGAAAGAGACAACTTAATCGGCCAAATGATAGGAATTAGCAAAGACGACAGAGATGAAGAAGAAGAAAAAAAAAGGGAGACCGAGAATAGCTTCGAAAGCGTAATAAATGAAGAAATGGTTGAAAATGAGGAAAGCAAATTTGGAAACTTCCCCTTGCAGGAACAGTTGTTCAGTGCGATGAAAATGACCGGAGCGCAGGTCATCATGGGGAACGAAGATGAGGATGATTTGGACGAGTATGACGACGACAGTGATGAGGAGGAGGAGGAAGAAGAAGAGGAGGAAGAAGAAGAGGAAGAGGAGGAAGAAGAAGAGGAAGAGGAGGAAGAAGAGGAGGATGAGGAAAATCACGATGAGGAGGGGGGTGAAGAAGCGGAAGGAGACGTCGTAGTGAACGCAAAGGGAAGTGATAAGGAGAAGAATAACGTGTCAAATGACCTGTATGACGTGCAGGACTTTCAGGATGAGAAGGAAGCGCCGAGTTCCGAAGAAACAAAGATAAGCGAAGCGGACGCTGCCCATCCAACAGAAAACACCTGCGGAGGCGGCGAAACTACAGGAGAGCGGGAAGTAGGAGTCAGCAGGAAATGCAGCGGAGGGAAGGAAGAGGCAGGAACATCCCAAAGGAAGCAACTAACAAATTTGCAGAATAACAGAACGGCGACTCCCCGTTGCGCAAATGATGGTAATGACGCGAAAGCAGTCGAGGTGAAGAACCAAGCCAAAGTAAATATTGTAGAACAAATGATCGAAATAATTGAAGAGGAACCTAACCAAGACAAGTCCTCCTCCCCCGACATTAGATTCATGACAGAGGATAAAAATGAGGAGGAAGAGGAATTCGAAGAAGTCATCGAAAAAAGAAGTTTCACCAAGTACAGAAACAAACACAACAACAGCAGTGAAAATTACCTCCCCTGTGACAATCGCCATAACGTGAAAAAGGAACAGGAAAATTATGCACAGTGTAGCAATCATGGAATGATAAATGAAATTACACTTAAAAGGGAAGAACACGGAACAGGTGAATTTTACAACCATCTGGAGAACCACCAGCAGAAGGAAGAAAAAGTAGAACAAGTGAAAGATGAAGAAGAAGAATCAGCCGAGTATAAACAATTTAAAAAACAAATCGCAATGATGAACAGTAGCATGCACAAGAAAGAAAAGGAGGATGAAAAGAACGCCAGAGGAAACGAACAAGTGAAACATCAAGGGGATGATAACAATCTATCCATACAGAAAGAAGAATTAATGACAGGTACAATCAGCCGAGGGAATTCAGACTCGATTAGCAACCTGAATGGGAAAAACTTCTTCATTAAAGACATGCTACATGAGAATAATCAGTACGTACACGACTACTGCGATATTGAGGACAGTACAAAGTATAAAATGTTGGATATAGCTAAGAAGAATCGAATTGAGAAAATAAAAAAAAAAATAAAAAAAAATAAAAAGCTAACCAAGGAAGATCTTAAGTTATTGTCCGAATTGCTACATCATAAATTTATACTCAACGAAATTAGTGCCATAGGTAATTACGAAGTGAATTACAAAAACTGCTTTGATATCCTCGAGTTGGAGGAATATAAACTAAGGGACGTGCTAAAAAGCTACTGCGAGTGCCTGTCCATAGGGCTAACCACCCATGAGCGGGAATTTCTCAACGAGTTCCAGCTGTTCATGCCTGACATGAACATCATGGACGACAAGAACATTCTGTACATCCTACGGCACTCCAGGAATGAGAAGAATTGCGTGTTCAAGTGTTTCCTCTGCGAGAAGGAGAGCTCGTAATTTTTAGCGCCGGTCCCATCGGCCACACTGTGGGTGATCAGGAAGCCAAGCCCCGCCGACGGTTAGAAGCTTCGCTCGCTGGATCAGTTCCCCGCTTTGGGTAGCCTTGCCGGAAATTCTAATCAGCACAATCACCAGCGACGCTCCAGGCATGTACACCTCCGCATCTGTGTTATTAGCAAGCCCAGTGCGCATACGCGTGGACGCTGTATAAATAAGCCACCACCCCACATATGTATATATGTATATATATATGTATGTGCAAAAATACGTGTGTTATGCCCTATGTGGGTGTCCATTATGAAGACGACTCTGATTTTCGCGCGCGGCGAGAGTGCAGTATCAGAAGATTATCTCCACCCGCGGGACGAACAGAAATGCGTTCCCCGTATGATATATTTATATCCCCCTCTTCACAGTGTACATAAATACGCAGTAGAAGATAACTAGTCCCAGATGACAGTTTTCCCTTACGAGAAGAAAAAAAAAAAAAAAAAAAAAACGGATGTATGATGTGCACTTGGGGATTTAGCAGGAAAAGTCCACTCTCATTCACATGTTGGTTCTGCAGAAGATTGCGCACCCACATTTCTTGTGAGGCATTCCTCCAGTTGCGGTACCAGTCGCAGCGTGGCGTCGCGACCAAGTAGCGACGAATAAGCAGTCAAGTGGTAACCAAGAGATGGCAGCCCCAGTCGCAGGCTCAACCGAAGAGACGACGACGAAGTCCCCATTTTCATAAACCTGTCTTACACCATTCACCAAGGATGTACACATCGCACACCTTTGACACTAATATAATATATACAATTCTCCCACTTCACAAAAGAAAAAAAAAAAAGAAAAAAAGCACCTTTCATTTTAAATATAAACAACTTCCGGAAGAATAGGAGACAAAGGTGTAGGAGAGAAATCTCCCCATTAACATACCCTCACTGCAATGGTTCCCCATGCAAATAAATAAAAGCCATCACAGCATGTGCTATATTTATGCCCGTACACATAAGTGGGTATATCCACATATATATAGGTATATATATGTACATGTGTACCGTTGAATATGTATGCAGCACGCGGCAACGCATACATATGTATTAACTCCCTGGAAACATTGTTTCTTTTTCCCAAAAT